ACCAACTTCGCTCCAGTGCGAATGTGGTGAAGGACAACTTGAACACGTAGTCAGCCTAACGAGGGGCGGAGGCCTCCCGTCCCCCACTGTTCCTGGCCTTATTGTGCCCTATCCAGCCGTTTTCCGACCTAATTCCTGCACAAATGTTATCAGAGGGGGCTCAGAATTCTAACCATGTGCATATCTTCGAAACCATTTAGTCGTTAACAGTGCCTTTAAGTAGCATTGGTTGTAGAAACACCCAATGGCAGGTTCTTTGAGTTCAAGAATTTTTAATGGAAGCGGGATAAACGTCAATGAATCCGAAATTCTTGGTAAGATGGTGGGATGCTTACCCAAATGGTTTAGTTGGGGTTCGTCGAATATCTCTGTCAAAGCCATGATCATCGTCGTTCGATGATGCCGCAAGCTCCATGAAACTTCTGAAATGTCAATGATCACCAATTATATTTGGGTGGATAACAAAATTGTTTTCACATCAGCTAGCCACATCAAGTCAGTGTGGGTCGCGTACTCAGACAAACGTCATCACTTCGACTCTTGTAGAAGTCGAATGCGAGGCGCATCCCAGAAACGGGACTGATCAAAACCATAAGACTATCCTTTTTAAGACCCCATCAATTTTAAATTACGCAGTTTAGGATACCTGTTTCAGAAAGAAAACCCTCAAAGCTAGCAAGAGACTGGAGACATATGCTGAAGTGGTAGGGGTGAAAAATTGATATAAAGCATATATATGTGATGCCTCTGTTTTTATGATTTCCAACTTACATTGGAATTTTGGCAGAGGATCTTGTTCTTTCCATTGGAAATAATTTGTGAGTTGAAATAAATTTTTGAAAGCATACAGAGCGACAACAACAAACAGAACTCATGGGCACCAGGGTTTTTCGTCAGCGAGAATTTTCAAGATTCAAAACTTTTGTAGCCTAAGTCTAAGCCTCAGTGTTCTTACTTAAAATAATACAAGAATTTCGGGGTCTGTTTGAAATTCTCACGGACTATCCTTAATTTTTTTTTCCGAGCCAAAAATTCAGTCAAAAAGTTCTGTACTCATTGGTACACTCATGAGAGCTTCAATTCAACCCATAGGCTTATAAGTGAACTCAAACAAAAACTTTACCTGTACCTCCGGTTGTTGATGGTTTCTCCCCATAGCTGAGATGCATGTGCGGGAAGAACTTCTTCATGATGAAGTCATCCAAAGCATCGTTACCCTTCCGGGTCGGACTACCCGAGCTTGGTGATGCGCTAGTTGTCACTGTCGAGCTTGATATCGATGTCTGCCTTGGGGATGATGTGGTGGGGTAGACTCGCTGCTTAAACACCCTACTTAGTGTCGAATAAATCTATCTCGAAGAATACATTAACATCAAGAACAGGTGGTGGACAAGCGCAGTGGGTAGTGTAAAACCACTGGAGTTGCGCTAGGCCCTACAGGCTCCTAGCACACACCTACTGGTCTCCGTAGAGTATGAACTGGATATGAGGCTGAATTGGAACCGAATGTGTAAACGTTCCCTGGTCTAGGCAATTCAGTCTGATCCCTTTTTTCCCTTCTGTTAAGTTTCCTTCCAAATGCAGGTAAGGTAGACATGCCCACATTTGTAGGAGAAGAGCCTCTAGCCAGACGTAAAGCGGGTTCTGTGTAACATTGGTGGGGTGCCCCGCGTTCTCAGTGACTAGCCAAGATTCGGCTCGCTATACTGACAAACATGTTCTATATACGATCACTTTCTATTTATTATTTCTATCAACTGAGACGATTATAAAAATATTTGTTAAGATTAATTAAATCTTGGATTCGGTGGCATCCTTTCAATGGCTTTGTAAGAGTAGTTACTAAGCTGCTTACGAGAACAAAGGTTGAGTGAAGGAGGTGGTTGATTTCTCGGAAACAGAGCAACTTATTTAACTCACAAGCATTCCCGAATCGTCCTCATTGGAGTTAGAGAGTCTGCTCTTCTTCTTCTTCATTTTGAGTTTTTTCTTTATCATCACTCTAACCCCTTTCCAGGGCTTCAGAACCGGTGTCTTGGTTCGTTTCAGTTGTTCCTCTTTGATTTGGTCAACGCCTACTTTATATTCGTTCTTTGGCTTCTTTGTCGAATCAAGTGACTGAAAGAGAATTAGGGATAGAATGTAATAATATGAATATTTTTCGAAATCTTACCTTGCCTTTGCTACCTAGAGATTGAGGTGAGTCAGTGAGAGGTCTTTCCGACGTTGGGCTCGTAATGGGCGCTACGGTGGTGAAATGCTCTTTTCCTTCTTCGATGACATTACCATCTTCGTCCAAATATTCCTCAATGCATCGATACCTAAAAGCTAATTGATTGGCACCCGGAAAAGACGAGGCAGTAAGTAGTTGAGTCATCGACGACAGCTCTTTCTCGCATTCTCTGCTAGCTCTGCGGGCTCCGCGGAAAGGCAATTTTCACTGTCCAGTACATGTAGGGAGGAGCAGAAAATGCATTCGACGAATAGCGCACTTTTTACGAACTCTTTTGAAAACCATCCGTTATGTGAGTTGTTACGCTGGATTCCTCAACTGAAAACCGAGTAAACAGCATTGATAGACTAAGTTATGGATCACTTTCGGCTTAAGGGGATAGTAAAAAATACCAGGTTGCCAGATTAACAAGTAATGATTCTCATAGTCGACTTATGTGAGTTGTTACGCTGGATTCCTCAACTGAAAACCGAGTAAACAGCATTGATAGACCTAAGTAATGGATCACTCTCGTCTTAAGGGGATAGTGAAAAATACCAGGTTGCCAGATTAACAAGTAATGATTCTTATAGTCAACTCCAGTTTTCCTTTGCCTATTGAACAACTTCATGCAGAGGGAATTTCAACTGTGTCACAGCATGCGAAAAGCTCTGATCCATCTTTACACACTTCGGCTTGATAACTCATCGAATGGTGGTAGGAGAAAGAAGTTCGAGTTATTTCCAATTCCAAAATTGCAACATTTTCAGGGCCAGCTATCTTCTTAAAGGACGTCAAGCGAATATGCTTGACATTCTTTACGGCTTACTCCACATGGAGAGCTTTTTGTTTCCATGCCGTAGATGCGTTGAGAGTTGCCGCTCCATTAACGCTTAGCAAAAGAGGCTCAAGAAGTTGGGAACAGCTGACGTTGGTCTGACTAGGAACTATTTCTCAGTGGTCCGCCAAATATCTCACGGAACTGTCTGGTTGCAGCTTAAAAACAGCTAATTCTATAGGCTGAAGATGCCCATTTACTCCTTCCATCCCAACTCTGCCCTCGGAATATCTACAACAGATTCAAAAATCGCCCCGATTGTGCCCAAAATCTACCTCATCAGGAGATCCTGACACATTCCTTCACCCACATTAGCGATCATACTTCAAAGAGATAGAAAAAAACAGACAGACAGGCAGGCAGAGAAACAAACAGAGCGACAGACAGACACATTGGCAGACAGATAGACAGGCAGACAGTCAGTCATACAGAGAGGCAGACGGACAGAACGCTTTTCATTCAGTAGGGACTACATACCTTTTCGTTCGCAGTTTTCCAGCCGGTCGTCCCCGATCTCCACTTCCACTGAGACTGTTTAATTTTCGTTCATACTGCTCCAGAACGTGGTTAGGGATGGACATTGCTGACAGTGTAGACAAGCCAAATAGGAGGAGCAGTTGCAGAAATAACAGTCTCATCTGAACTTCTTTAGTGACTGTAAGTTACATGAATGAAAACATCGTTAATATATCGGCGGTCGATCAGCAAATTGAAGATGGTTTTGGGATCATCGACGGCAAAGTAGGCAGAACCAAAAAAAGGTATAAACACTAAGTCATGATGGGAGCATATCGGCAAGAAGGAAAAGTCAATAGTACCAGACGAGCTACATTTGTTGGAATGAGTCTTACTAAATAGGCAGCCAATAACTGGTTTTGTGAGGCGCCGATTCCTGGAGGCGTTCATCCCGGAAAAGGAAATTGATTAAATGAAAGTAATATTGGAGAATTTTGAAGATAAGGAATGGAAAATGCTGAAGGACAAGAATCGCATTAACTCAGAGCTTAGTAGATCTTACACTAGCCCTAGCTCACCCATACCCTTCACCTTCCCCTCTCGGAAAAATTCCCAAAAAATAATGGGACAGATTGGTGACTAAATGGAAAAATCCTTTCATTAGTAAGAATAAGACAAATGACTGAAGTGTAGAGAATGTCCTTGGTTTACGGATAGGCTTCATTATGACTAAGAGTATTCCTTAAAAACCAAATGACTCGCTACATGGCTTTCTCAGAGAATGCTGGAAAAAGCTTTTCCATGCTTCTGCTTGCAAAAGAAGGGCTCCATTAGTGATGCTTCCATGGCTAGACTTTGTTCGAGAATAAGAGGGTCGATGTCTGTGACATGGAAATTTCGAGAGGCGAAGTTCTTGGATTTCCATGTCTTGCTAGCAAGAATCCTGCTTTTTAGAATAGGGCTAATCGTCCCAATACAAGCCGACTTCTGCGATTTCATCAAGCCAAACCCTCCCCTGACACTGATGGGCACAATTAGTGGAATTCAAGTTGCTATTGCATTAATTCCTGATGTGATCTTGCCGTAACAGCGATAGATGGTATTCTGAGAAGAGAGTTCCCACCCTCAGACGATTTTCTCTTGTCCNCCCCCCCCCCCCCCCTCGGATTGTTATCCGTTCCGCTATCGAGACCGTGGGATGAAAGGGCTCCCATGTGGAATGTTAGGTGATCTTTGAACTAGGTCGTCCATTCCGTTAAAGAACTATTGAATAGAAAGCTGACGGCAGGATTAAGACGTTAAATGGGGCGCAAAGTTCAGTAATTGCCCATTTGGGAAAGGATTTTCGAAAGGTCACCCAACGGATGTTTCTATGTCAACAACTAATATGGTATTAGGTGGACCAAATGGACTTTGAACGTCCATTTTTCCTTAACTTCACAGTAGGTCCATTTCTCAAATGGGAAATAGAAATTCGAACTACCCACGAAAAAAAACGAAAAAATATATATGTAGAATATTAGACACAGATTAGGACCTTCACAAGGGGCTGCTGAAGCTCTGTAGTAATCACATACTATAGTAGCAAAGGATAAGCCCACACCAGTATAATCAATCGGTACTAAAGAACTCTCCCAATTAGCTCCATTAGCTTCCCGCGGAATCGTATCCATATCGCCAACAATGCTATCCAGCCCAGCTTTTTTGCATTTATAAGGGAACAAATCAACTGCACAACGATCCGAGTAAAAGTCGAATGTATGTATGGCGTATACCTGAAGGGTTTCATTACTTCATTTCACGAAGCTGCTATGGAATCAAGTATAGTCATTAAAAGCTCTACTTCATATACGGATGGAGGCCAGCAATTAGTATTCCTCAAAAGAGCTGGTAAACAATGATGGTGTTTGGAGAAAAAGCTCAATTCTGTCAAAAACACAGCGGGTCATGACAAAAACAGTGACTTAAAATAGATTAGGCGGAAGCTTGTTTGCCCTGCTTTTCATTTTGGGAAGCTTCGTCAAAAATGTCTTTTATATGTTGTAATAAGATGTACTAAAGTGTGGATGAAAAATGAATTATCAAAGACGAGAGGTGTGCCCACGAGGATAAAGAAAAGAGCCCCAGTTAGAAACTTGTAGCTCTCAAACAATTTAACCACGGCATGCCATTAATTGGCCATCCAATCAGAAAGTTTAAGAGATGCTCATCAATTAGGCTTGAGATTTCCTCGAGAAAAATGTTTTCAGTACACGGTTAATTCTTACTGAACACCTCGGAGGTATTTACAGAGTCAAAGGTCAACCGTAAAAAAGTGAGAGCGATTCATGTGAATTCTTGCTGGGATTCATGGGACAACCATTTCACTCCTCCAAAGTTCATATATATGTCAGGTAGCATTGGATCTGCCTTGAGAAACGGACCTTTTGGCTAGCCCGAGTCTGCATTGGATTCTGAAAGGAAGGCAGTATGCCCAATTTGGTAGCGATAAACCCCCCAAAGCAAATTGAAGGGCTCTCTTAGCCCATTGCCCATTTGTTCCTGGTCTTCTAAATTTGGATTGACATATCCATAGTAATGAAATGCCAGAAACCCACACTGGGCTTTTGAATATCTCAGGAAGCAGGTGGCTGCAGGTGCGAAGGCTCATTCTGGAGTGATTTTGCTTTAGGAAGAAAATTTTTCACGAGCTTCTGCTTACACATGAGTTTCTTGTTTATTTTACTTTAAATTTTCCCATAGACTGCAAAAACACAGCTTCGAGAGGAGCTCTAAAGCCTCTATGTGATCATCATGCATGCAATAATTAATGAGGATATGAATATGATGGTTGTTTGCTTGGTTATTTACCCACACATACTAATTATATGCTATTTTTAGCTTGAGAATACTTTCGCGCTCTTGCATGCGTCCCAAAACATTCAACAGTTCTCGATTTAGCCGAAATTCTATCCATATAAGAGCCACAAACGGATAGAGTGGAATTCAATAAAATAATAACTGTAGTAGTGAAATAAAGATGGTTTGGATATTCCATGATTCACGAAGGAAGCGTTTTTTTAGCTTCTAATCCCAGCAATCAAATGGTAGTGTTGAAAGGAGAAAAGCCAGAATTCCAACCAGAAAATGGTCCCTGGCCTCCACTGTATGTATGAAAAGCACGAGCTTTTCAAAGGCAGAAAGCTGACTACACACTGATAGATAGAATCCTTCAAGTCGTAGAGCGCGATCATAGAATGATTTCCTGCTTTTGTAGATAAAATTACGGCCAACTTGCTTAAATATAAACGTGAAATTCTTCGAGTAACCCGATTGATTTTTTTGAACAAACCGAACTACTCCGAAACCTGCTGCTGTTTCATAGTGCTTCTGTAAAGAAAGAAGAATGTACAGCAGAAGAAAAAAGAGTGTACCAGAGAGAATAAAGTAGTTTTTAGCGATTCCGATGTGTTCACCACGATCTATAACAATTCAGAATATATAAATACCTGCAAAAAAAAATGCATAATTTGTATTGTATTTGTATTTGCATCTTGTATAGTTAGCATCGATCGTTACTTTTTAGCACTACGAAATGCATTGGGCAATAAAAGAAATGGGCCCCAATTTCAGTTGACCATACAGGTTTACTTAGAACGATGGGAAGATGAGTTACCTATCTCGGGTTGTAATATTTGTTCCTGCAACACGTAGTCGAATCGAAAAAAATTTTCCCGAGCACCTACTTATTGACAAGCTCTTCTGACGAGTTGTATGAAGTGGATGGACGAGTCATCTGTGTACGTATTGCCTCTGAGTGAAAATTTTTCTCAATCATGCCGAAGGTATTGGAACCATATGAGGTATTGGAACCAACAGATCTTTCCTCGAACCGGGCAAATTTCTGCTGAAGTCTGCTTTGACTTGGACAGCTCGGGCCACCTCTCTTAGCTAGTGCTCCCGATTTTCGTTTCCGGGCCTAAACCCTTTCCTAAACCCCCGTCATTGACTCGAGAGAAGTCAGAAGGTCACAAAAAAACTTTCCAGCAAAATCAGAATTTATTTGAGTAGGCTGTTTTGACAGTATCCATATACAATGGTAGGCGGAAATGGATGGAAAACTTTTAGGGAAGCTGATTTGAGCAATTTTTGGCAACTCTACAAATAAAGTGGTAACTGGGAAAACAAGGTAATTACCATAAACGAGTTGTGGGCGATTACGTTGCAGCACATCCTTTTGGGAAGTGCAGCAGCTTCGACTTCATCGAATTTCAGCTACTAAAAGAAAAAACGAATCCGAGACAGAAAAAGAATGGTAAACAAAATGACGAAAGTTTAATTTTCTCGAATGGGCTTTTAGAGTCCTATTCGTTTTGCCATGAAGCACAGAACTCTTCAAAAGTGGCTTATTTTCAGGATTCTCAGCATTTAAACGTTATAGCACAAGCCGAGCACACTCTATGGCATTTTTTGACAAAGCATTTTCAAGCAGTTTCTGAGAGCTGTCCAAAACCACCCTTGGATGTCGCAAACATACATAAGTCTAAGCACTTCCCATTGAAATGGGTAGATCATGATATCAACGAGTAAAGGAAGCAACAAGTTCAGAAAGGTTGGTAATGGAAGCTAGAAGTTTTGTAATGGAGGGGCGTGCGTATCTCTCACTGTCACAGACTATAGACTAGGCAAGGAGGCTGTAGGTGCGCCAAGTCTGTGGGCGGATACCGCTATACAAGATGGTCTTCAAGACTTGGATCCTCCCCATCTGGAGGATCTTGAGGTGCCCTTTTCAGAATAAAGGAAGAAAGTGTTGATGTGGAGTGGGGGCACCAATAACGAAGAAAATGCAAAAAAAAAATCGCTAAGTTCCCGTGGTGGAGATACAACAGCCTACTTCGTCATAGAGAAACTAGTCGGAGACCCAGAAGCCACCATTATCGTTAACAGTACCTCTAACCTTACCTGAAGAAGTTGGATCTACTAATGCGAGCGCACGTGTTTGGCTTCTTCCCTTCAGCATCCCCTAAAAAGGCGCCTTCCCTGGTATGAAGATGCAGTTGCTTTTGTAAATCGAAGGTGAACATTAGGAAGAATAACAATTATAGAGAACGACCTCAATGTAGCTCAGACTTGCTGAACAATTAAA